TGCTCATCTCCATTTCTAAGCCAAAGAGCCTGCGTTTCCTAAGTCATGTAGTCAGCATGAATGCATGGAGTGCCGAAGCAGTACCTATTGCTCTACTCACATTTGAATGTTTTCGAACTGCTAGGTTGGCAGTAGCTGGGGCTATCAGCGGGAGCTCACCTCACTCCCCGGATTCAAACTGCCGAGCTTTTGGTCAGCAAGTTCAGCAGCTCAGCGGTTGCTAAAGTGAAATACAGTGCTATGGATGTGTGGTGTGAGTGGGGCTTAGGAGCCATTGATGTACAAAATTCTCCCCATTCTGAGAATTCAGACTTGACTGGATTGGACAGTCCTTCAAACAGATGATCCATCATTCCTTCCTCTTTCCCTTCCATTCATTCCATCCTTCCATCCCTCCCACCCTTATGTCTTGCTGTGGTCTTATGGTGTTATTAGATGTTTTGAGTTGTGTATGTGTATTTAATATATCTAACAAAACATTTTTTTAAAAAAGAGTACAGTGTTCCCTTGCTACTTCACGGTTTGCTTTTGGCAGACTCGTTGTTTTGCGGTTTTCAAAAAAATATTAATTTAAAATATTTATCACAGTATTTTTGCTGTTTCACGGGTTTTTGCTGCCACCACTCTCCGAGGCGCTTTCCCTCCCTCCAGCCTTGAGGGGTCTTTCCTTCCTTTCTTTCACTTTATTTGAAGTTTATAAAGTCTTAAAATAGTGTACAGCTACTAAAATAATGTATAAATATTAAAATAAATATAGCGTCCCTACATCACAGTTTTTCACTTATTGTGGGAGGTCCTGGAACGTAACCCCCGCAATAAGTGAGGGAACACTCTACTATCTTTTCAAAGGCATATGGACATCTTCTCTCAATCTTGACCGCTCTGTTACCTTAACAACTTTGGCCAGGAGGCATGGTTGACGCGCATGGCTACCAAGACTCCAACTAGCTTGCTAGTAGATAGAATGGTGATTAAGAAAGATTAATTAGAACCAGCTGTTTGGACCCATGAGCATCTGGGCAGAACGGCTAAGACTGTTTAACTGTCTTTAAGGAAGACAACAGCAGCGCTGAAAGCATGCATGCAGGGGAGTGCATATGCTGGTTACTGCTACTACCAACCCCAAAAAGAGTGCCAATCTTTGCCTAAATAGTGCCCGTTGTGATGGGGATTTCCTTTTTTTGTCTTGTGCACACACAGTCGCCACAATCTCCTCCCTGATAATCCAGCAACCCAAGGTATTCAACCTCCATTCAAAATGATCCACATTAGTGGGACTTCTGGATTATGTGGGCACAGGTTCACATGGCAAGCTGTGCTCCCACTCCGGAGGGAAGGGGGAGAAGCATTTGCTAAGCCTTTTTGTGCCGCCAGCTGAGAAGCCTATCACGCCGCATGCTGCCTTATGTAATACACTGCTACAGCCAGTCAACTCGAAGCTCGCTATTTGTGGCTTGCTGTTTTCATTGAAAACACACAGATGCCCCTTATTTGTCAGTTGCTATCTTTTTCTCCCCTCCACCCTCATTGCGGCAGCGTACCACACAGGGCCATTTTGAGGAAGAACACTGCGCTGCTGACATGCGATTCTACATGAACTGAATGACTTGGACAAGCAATGGATTGTCTATTTTGAAAAGGAATCCTTTTAGAAACAACGAAAACACATAATCTACAAGTCTTTTGCCTTCAGATACCATTATGCATCTCATTTCTCCCTCTCTAACACCCTGTTTAGCTTTATGCATAACTGGTAATCTTTTGGGGGTGAAGGTTGAAATCACAATATGCATTTCAGTATGCCAAAAAATCCCTTCCAAAGTTAGGATAATCTGGTTTTTTTCCCTACATCTGTTTCAGCTTTAAGGCACATGCAAAAAATACAATTAAGCACTTTGCACTCAGTATATCACACAGAGAAAGAGATAAAAACACAAAGCTACATAATGTATGGTGAATGAGACATCCCTTCAGATGAGGCATAATTTAAAATGACAGTTTTTATGGCTCAACCCCTATGGACTTTCTAACCAGGATCAGGCCAAACACACTCTGTGTATGCTCAATGGGCAATTGATTCTCTGTCAAAAGTTGGGAACAATTGCCACTACAGATGTTTGGAGACAGCAAATGGCTAAACCACAATAGTAAGAGTTTGGGATTTGCAGGGCCCTTTCCACACAATCCTATATCCCAAAATATCAAGGCAGAAAATCCCACAATATCTGCTTTGAATAGGGTTATCTGAGTCCCCACTCAGATAATGTGGGATTTTCTGCCTTGATATTCTGTGGTATAGGGCTGTGTGGAAGGGCCATTAATCCAATACCCGGAGAGCCAAAGTTTCTCAATGCCTGTATTAAAGATACAGATACCCAAGACTTTGATGCACCTATCGCCTTAAATGTCCTTTGTCCATTGTTTCCTATGTTTAAACTTAGGTTTGTGGGAGGTTTTGTCACCCACCACCATTCAAGATGCTGTCAGTTATGTGTCATTATTCTGTGCATACTCAGAGGCAGCTCATTTGGTCCACTAGTTTAGTCAACAGTAGCATGTGAGAACCGGCAAGGTGTAGTGTCTTGATTTTGGAAAACATGAATCAAATCTTTGCTCAGCCCTGGAAATGATCTGGGTGTCTTTGGGCAAGTCACACACTCTCAGCCTCAAAGGAAGATGAAGGCAAGCCTTTTTCAGAACAAATCTTGCCAAGCAAAACCCGTAATAAGGTCATCTTAAGCAATAAATCAAAAACAACTTGAAGGCACACCAAAACAACAAGCAATAACATCAATTTCCAGGATTGCATCCTGGTTCGGGATCAAGGCCCCGTCTACATTGTCTGCTTTGTACTAGATTATATGGCAATGTAGACTCATATAATCCATAATGTGGATTATCTGCTTTAATAATCTGGATTTTATGGCAGTGTGAAGGGACCTCAGCCCTCAAGTCACAGTCTTCAGCCAATCATCCTTTCTCACAGTGCCTACTTCACAGGATTGTTGTGAGACATACAGAAATGAATAGACAGTTTGGATTCTTTTACATAATACATGTCATTAAAAATAGACACTGTGCTCTCAAGTGCTTCTTTTTAAATTACATCTTTTAATCCTCCTAGTTGCTGTCAGGAGGAGAGAAAATGCCTTCTTAATACCCAGTTGAGAGTCCCTTATCCGAAATGCTTGGGATCAAAAGTATTTTGGATTTGGGGGGATTTTGGAATATTTACCTATCTTGGAGAAAGAACCCAAGTCTAAAGAGAAAATCCATTTCTGTTTCATACATACCCTTATACACATAACTTTATGGCTGTTTTATATACAATATTTATTTATTTATTTATTTATTTATTTATTTGATGCACTTATTAACCGCCATTCTCAGCCCTTACGGGCGACTCATGGCGGTGTACAGTACACATAAAAGACAGTTACAAAAAGTCAGTATCTACAAACACATAGCTATACAAACAACTACAAACTACATAAAAATCCGCTTCGTCTCTTAGTAGAATCATAGGCCAGTCTCATTCTAAATACATTTGTGCAAGAAATAAAGCGGATGAACACAGAACCATCAGAAAACAAAGTTATCTCAGCCACCCATGTGGACCATTTTGGAGTATTTGTACTACCTTGATTTATGTGTATTTGCTTTACTAGGGCATTGAGTGTTTGCCTTTTTGTATGTAAGCAGCCCTGAGTCCCCCGGGGAGAGAAGATGGTCTATACATAAATAATAATAATAATAATTATTATTATTATTATTATTATTATTATTATTATTATTATTTGAAACACAACAAGACGAGTCCACAGCAGACACTCTGCTGGCTGTTGTATTGGATCACACGTCGAACACTTCCCAAGTGTCTAGGACTGTGTGATGTATCGGCGAATAATGTGTGCAGATCTCAGTAAGGTGACCTTCTGCAACTGTCAGATGGTAATTTTGTCAGCGCCGATTGTGTTTAAGTGCAGGCCAAGGTCTTTAGGCACTGCACCCAGTGTGCCAATCACCACTGGGACCACCTTGACTGGCTTGTGCCAGAGTCTTTGCAGTTCAATCTTTAAATCCTCATATAGTGTCAGCTTTTCACCCTTCCACATCGTCCTATTATTATTATTATTATTATTGATCTTGGAATTTCAAAAATGGGGTGCTCAACCTAAACATGGGATTTCAGATGCTCCACCTCGGGCATGTCCAAAGTCCAAATTGTTCAAATTTCCAGTGGCCCTCTCTCTCCAGGCCTCTCTCCCTTGCTTCTTTCCTTCCTCCTTCCTTTCCCTCCCCCATCCCTCTCTCTCTTTCTTGACTTCCTTCCTCTTTTCATTCCTTCCTTCCTTCTTTCCTTCTTGGGGATCGGAGCCGCAGAAAAGACGGGCTCCTTGGGAGGAGAGGAAGAGTTTTTTATAAACTATAGTCTGCCCCCCCCCCCCCAACAGACCAAGGGACTGTGAACTGGCCCTCGGCTTTAAAAGTTTGGGCACCACTGGCCTACCTGGTTTAGAGAGGTAAAGGTTTCCCCTTGACATTAAGTCTAGCTGTGTCCAACTTTGGGAGGTGGTGCTCATCTCCATTTCTAAACCGAAGAGCCAGCATTGTCCATAGACATCTCCAAGGCCATGTGGCCAGCATGACTGCATGGAGCGCCATTATCTTTCCGCCAGAGCAGTACCTATTTATCTACTCACATTTGCATGTTTTCAAACTGCTAAATGGCAGAAGCTGGGGCTAACAATGAGAGCTCACCCTATCCAGTGGATTCGAACCGCCGACCTTCTGGTCAGCAAGTTCTGCAGCCTAGTAGGTTAACCCATTGCGCCACTGCAACCCCTTAGAAAAGTACAGTTTGTTTTTCTTCATTCCTTGATGTTACAAATTTGAGGCGGAGACACGATGCTCTATATTCCCAACCACACCGCTCCACAAATAAGATGAGAACAAGTCTGCTAGGGATTCCTTCTAAGCAAGATGTACAAATGACTCACCATAAACAGAGCTGTGTCATATTGTGGAATAGAAAAACAGAACCCCCAGGGACTCTGATGAGCTGGAGGGCTAGCATCATCCATTTTGTTTTCTTGAACTACGACGTCCAAAAGGAGCAGAAGATACGAAGAGGAATTTCCGAACACCTTCCTCCAGTGTCAAATATTCACACCAATAATAATCCAAATGCCACGCCACTAAAGTGTCATAGTGGGTTGACTTGATTTGGTAAAGGAGGGAGTCGGCTGGAAGGGTGAAGCAGGGAAATAGAAACATGGACCACAATCTTACTCAAAAATCAGATCCATTGAGGAAAATCCAGTTGATTTCCCAATAGACACAAGTACGGGATTGCACTGTCCGTGCAGGCAAATAGAGGAAAAAGCATGCAATTCCTTCACAGCCCTCAACATACAGGTTGAACAACATCCCTTATCAGGAATGAATTACTCCAGAATTGTCACGTGGGAGGCTGAGATAGTGACACCTTTGCTTTCGGATGGTTCAGCATACACCAAATGCACAAAAACATTAAAATTTGTATGAAATATATATCCAGGATATGCAAATAAATTCCAAATGAAACACAAATTAATTTCCAGCATTTACACTTAGATCCATTCTGCAAGGTATCTCATTATCAATGTGTTGTCGAAGATTCTCATGGCCGGAATCATTGGGTTGCTGTGAGTTTTCCAGGCTGTATGACTATGTTCCAGAAGCATTCTCTCCTGATGTTTCGTCCACATCTATGGCAGGCATCCTCAGAGGTTGTGAGGTCTGTTGGAAACTAGGTAAGTGAGGTTTATATATCTGTGGAATGTTCAGGGTGGAAAATAATCAGGGCCAGCTAATACCCCCCAGCAAAGGATTCACCTAGGCAGGAAGCAGCCAGGCTTTGAAGCTGCAAGGCCATTCAATGCTAATCAAGGTGGCCAAGTGCAACATTCACACTTGCCTCAAGCAGACAAGAGTTCTTTCTCCCACATGGACATTCCACAGATATAAACTTCCCTTGCCTAGTTTCCAACAGACCTCACAACCTCTGAGGATGCCTGCCTGCCACATATTTGGAGTTTTGTGTGAGTGTGTCAGGAGCGACTTGAAAAACTGCAAAGTGCTTCTGGTGTGAGAGAATTGGCCATCTGCAAGGACGTTGCCCAGGTGAGGCCCGGATGTTTTGACATTTTACCATCCTTGTGGGAGGTTTCTCTCATGTTCCCGCATGGGGAGCTGGAGCTGACAGAGAGAGCTTACCCATGCTCTCCCCAAATTCGAGCCTGCGACCTGTCAGTCTTCAGTCCTGCCGGTACAAAGGTTTCACCCATTGTGCCACGGGGGCTCTTACAGATGTGCGTGAAACATCAGGGGAGAATGCTTCCAGCGTATGGCCATCCAGTCCGGAAAACTCACAGCAACCCACTATCTCATTATCTCTAGATAAGTCTTCCAAAATCTAAAATGGATTTCTCTCATGTCCCTGCATGGGGAGCTGGAGCTGACAGAGGGAGCTCACCCGCACTCTCCTCAGATTCAAGCCTGCGACCTGTCTGTCTTCAGTCCTTACAAGGCTTTAACCCATTGCGCCACTGGGGGCGCTTACAGATGTGGGTGAAACATCAGGAGAGAATGCTTCCAGCATATGACCATCGAGTCAGGAAAACTCACAGCAACCCACTATCTCATTATTTCTAGGCATGTCTTCCAAAATCTAAAATGGATTTCTCTCATGTCCCTGCATGAGGAGCTGGAGCTGACAGAGGGAGCTCACCCGCGCTCTCCCCAGATTCGCGCCTGCAACCTGTCAGTCTTCAGTCCTTCAGAAGGCTTTAACCCATTGCGCCACCGGGGGCTCCTACAGATGTGGGCGAAATGTCAGAAGAGAATGCTTCCAGCCCGGAAAACTCACAACAACCCACTATCTCATCATCTCTATGCAAGTCTTCCAAAATCTAAAATGGATTTCCAATATGATTCAAGACTCCATTGTATCTCATTATGTAAATGCCAAATCCCCTGCAAGCTGCAAATCATCCAAAACACTGACTTGGAGTATCTAGGGAGAGTCAACCTGTAATATCACACAGAGAGAGGCTAAATTCAAGGAGGGAGGGACAGAGAAGAGCACCCTACCCAGCCATGCCATGACCAGGGAAGAGGGAGAGCAGATTGAGGAGGGTGCTGGAATGCAAGGAAGGGCTTATGAAGAAGGCGAGAGGAGCTTTTTGGCTGATCCTCTCCCTCAATGGGAGTGCAATGGACTCAATGAGAGGGAGGGAGACATGTTGCCCATGGGAGGGAGGCGGCTCATGCTGGCACTGGCCCTGGGATGGAGGGATGAGAGGAAAAGGAGGAGAGGAAGGCAAGAGGCAAAGCATCCGAAGCCAAGCCTCAGTATAGACAGGGGATGATATCAAAATAAAAGAGAGAAGCGTGGGAATGCGAGGAGGAGGGATGGAGGGATGCGCTCACCTGCCTCGACGGCCACCTGGCGACCCTGCAAGGCTCGGGATGCGAGAAGGCGATCCTCCGCAGCCCCCTTCCGAAGAGATCCGCCGCTCTATGGAGAGAGAAAGCTTCGCCTGGGGCCACTTCTCGGCTCGGCCACTAGGGGGCCTTAAAGGGGCAACGCGGCTCCCTGGGGCCCACCAGCGAGAAAACCTGGGAAAGGTCCCTGTCTCTTTAAGGCTTGTGTCCAAGAGGGGATTTCGACAGGTGGGGCTGCTTAGTGGTTGTATTTGCGAATGACATGCAACACCTGCGGAAATGTCCCTTTCTGGTGGTCTTCAAATACAAGGCCCTTCCACACAGCCCTAGAATATCAAGGCAGGAAATCCCACAATCTCTCCTTTGAACTGGGTTATCTGAGTCCACCCTCAGATAATGTGGGATTTTCTGCCTTGATGTTCTGGGATTCGAATTATTCTCTCATGTTTATTATTGTATGTTTAAATTGATATGTTAATTGTTTAAATTCATTATGTTTATTATTATATGTGCAATGTGGCATTGTATGCCATGGATTGTAAGCCATCCTGAGTCCCCCACTGGGGTGAGAAGGGTGGGGTATAAATGTAGTTTAATAAATAAATAAATAAATAAATAAATAAATAAATAAAAAAGGGCTGTGTGGAAGGGCCCCTTCTACACTGCCGTATAAAATCCAGATTATATGCTTTGAAATGGTTTATCTGGCAGTGTAGACTTATATAATCCAGTTCAAAGCAGATAATGTGGATGTTCTGCTTTGGTAATCTGGATTATCTGGCAGTGCTGACTCATATAATCTAGTTCAAAGCAGATAATGTGGATGGTCTGCTTTGATAATCTGGATTATCTGGCAGTGTAGACTTATATAATCCAGATCAAAGCAGATAATGTGGATGGTCTGCTTTGATAATCTGGATTATCTGTCAGTGTAGATTCATATAATCCAGTTCAAAGCAGATAATGTGGATGGTCTGCTTTGGTAATCTGGATTATCTGGCAGTGTAGACTCATATAATCCAGTTCAAAGCGGATAATGTGGATGGTCTGCTTTGGTAATCTGGATTATCTGGCAGTGCAGACTCATATAATCCTGTTCAAAGCAGATAATGTGGATGGTCTGTTTTGATAATCTGGATTTTCCGGCAGTGTAGACTCATATAATCCAGTTCAAAGCAGATAATGTGGATGGTCTGCTTTGATAATCTGGATTATCTGGCAGTGTAGACTCATATAATCCAGTTCAAATCAGATAATGTGGATGGTCTGCTTTGGTAATCTGGATTATCTGGCAGTGCAGACTCATATAATCCAGTTCAAAGCAGATAATGTGGATGGTCTGCTTTGGTAATCGGGATTATCTGGCAGTGTAGACTCATATAATCCAGTTCAAAGCAGATAATTTGGATGGTCTGCTTTGATAATCTGGATTATCTGGCAGTGTAGACTCATATAATCCACTTCAAAGCAAATAATGTGGATGGTCTGGTTTGATAATCTGGATTATCTGGCAATGTAGAAGGGGTCTGACTTGTGGTGGCCCCCAAGCGATTCGTTCAGAAGAGAATTGTAATTTCCTTCCTCTGAAGCCAAAGAGTGTGACTTGCCCAAATTCACTCAATGGGTTTCATGACTGACTGGTAAGCATATGTGATCCAATTTTTTTTAAAAGGTTCTAAACTGTGTTCAAAAGTAGGGGGTGCTGGCACTTTGTTTCTAAAGTCCTTTCTGAATTTTAGGAGTAAAAATTTCAAAACTTTACGAAACTTCCGAATCTCTGTAAGTACCTCGTTAATGGCAGTTGCGCATGCACATTAAGGAAAACATTACTGTCAGTGGGGAAACTTGAGGGGCTGCTCTCTCCCTCGTTTTTTAATCTATCCTGATGAAACTTGCTACAGTGGTAGAACACATTTATCACTATTAGCTCACCAAATTTCAGAACGTTTCATGTATCCATGGATTTTTGGTGAATTTTCAATGATTTTATAAAAACATTTTTAATAATAAAGAAAATCTGTTCCTGGTTTGAAAGTGTTATTTCCTGTTTCAGTGTGTGGTCTTTACTCTGAAAGTAGTTGTTGTACTCCAGAAACTTCTTTTGTGGGGCTGCCCCAAACTATGTTAAATTAGTCAAGACTCAACAAAGAAAAATAATTATATCCCTTGAATAAAGACAAAGTTTTTCCAATGTAATAAACTTTCACCATGTTTTTATGACAGAACCAATTAGGAAATGGCATTTATAACTCAGGAAGAGAAATAATACTGCAGACACCATCAAGGGACATCTAAACAAGGCATGGGAAAACTTTGGCCCTCCAGGTGTTCTGGATTTCAACTCTCACAATTCCTAACAGCCTACTGGCTGTTAGGAATTGTGGGAGTTGAATTCCAAAACACCTGAAAGGCCAAAGTTTCCCATGCCTGAGCAAGACTGATCCCCTTCTTCCAGGCAGAAAGACACAATCCAAACTCTCCTGATGTCCAATTAATATGCTTCCCCTTGACACACAACCAAATAGCTTCAATTTAGCACAGATTTATACTATTATTTACTTACTTACGCTCTCTTTGGAGATTCCATGATTTTATTTATTATTGACTGACTAAATGCCATGATTTGGTGATGCACACCAATGCATTTTGAGAAATGTAATTTAGCACAGGCATATGGTT